ACTTGCAAAATTTTCTTTCTATTATTTTTTCAATTTATATTTTCTCTGATTCTCTGTCTTTACCATCAAGTCCTGTCATACTCAGAAAGTCATTATTAGCATATGGCTTACTTTCGGAAGAAATTAAACATTCAAGCAAAGTCCTTGGTCAATTTCTTTTTAGATAACATTCAGCCCGCTATCTAATATGAAAATGAAGTCATCATGCTCCCTCGAAAGAAGCTTTGAACTTTTTTCCCTTTTCTTGTCCTTTGGATTAAAGTTGTTTGTTTAGCTCAAATTATGAAGTTTTAAGCTCTAGAAGTGTTTAAATGGCTATGAAATTTCTTGAAAGTTTTTATTCTTTATCTGAAGTATATGATTTGTTTTTCTCTTATATTACCTGCAAGGCCTTTTATGCTTTAGATGTTTCTTGGGAACTCTGATTCTAACCTTTATAGGCAACCTATATGTTTATGAATCGAAAGGCCCCTAAATTCATACCTCTTTAAACATTTTTAGCTTCCTTAACAGATGTTAATGGTGATCTAATCCCATGTTATTCTCTTTCATTTACTGTTAAATTTTTGTGCAGGAAATTCATTGGAATAGTGGTATTTGTAGCGATGCTAGTGTTGGAATTTGATACATTTTAAATTAGTGTACCATTTTAGTTTTGAATCTTTTTTATTCTTTTTCAGGCAACCCAGCAGCAAAGGTCATTTTATCGATTAGGATCTGGTATGAACTCCTATAACAGAGGCTACCTGCAAAGTGATCTGAATCAAGTTGCTGGTTTTGGAAGTGCATCAGTTCCTAGTTTGGGAGCGAACAGTAGGGGCTGGCTATCACTTGATAGTAACCAACGACGTGGAAGAGGTAGTGGCATCTCTCTATGTGGTTGTAATGGTGCTCTTGATATCCTTAGTGAGCAAAACCGAGGACCAAGAGCCTCAAAATCCAAGAACCAAATTATAGCTAATAATTCTTCCATTGATGATAATAAAAGCAACAAATCTTCAGCCAATATCCATGATGAGTCATACAACAGACCAGATTTTGCTACTGATTACAAGGATGCTAAGTTCTTCGTAATCAAGTCATACAGTGAAGATAATGTTCACAAGAGTATCAAATACGGTGTCTGGGCTAGCACACCTAATGGGAACAAAAAATTAGATTCTGCTTATCGTGAGGCGAAGGAGAACCAAGACACTTGCCCTGTGTTTCTTCTCTTTTCGGTAATTATATTTTAGACAAACAATTTTCTGTTTACTTGGTCTCATTTATGTGAGTTAAATATATGTTATTCAACATGCCTAGTTCTAAGATATCATTTTCTTTTGATCCAGCCATGTGATCCATTTGTGTTGTGGTTGCATTGGTTGCAGCCCCTATCATATGCTTGATTTCTTTTGGTTCTGAGGAATGGTTCCCTTTAGTACGTGTGAAATGTATTAATTGCATTACTCTTGGGTGAGAATTACATAATGAGTTTTACGCCTCCAGTATCAATGGTTTATTTGTATTTTTTTAAGTTGCTGGTTAACAAAGTGGTTGTTATTATTATTATTTTTTAATTTATACCTATGACTTTGGTAGGACTTGGTGTTGCCACAAACATGATATTAAAGCTCTGTTCTATTGTAGCATACTTCCAGCATGTTCCCCTTCCCCTGTTCATTTCTGCTGATAACTAGCTCACTGATTTGTATGCTACAATTGTTGCAGGTGAATGCTAGTGCACAGTTCTGTGGGGTTGCTGAAATGGTTGGACCTGTTGATTTTGACAAAAGTGTGGATTACTGGCAGCAAGATAAATGGAGCGGGCAGTTCCCTGTCAAATGGCATATTATCAAAGATGTTCCAAACAGTCAGTTCCGTCACATTGTACTGGAAAATAATGATAATAAGCCAGTGACTAACAGTAGAGACACTCAGGAGGTACATTTTCTGATGACCATCTGTTATAAATGACGGTGTCCATGCATTTGAAAGTGTTCTGATCTTCAAACTGTTTAACTGCATTTTAATTAGACAGCTACATGAGATTCAGGAGAAACTTTATTATCAAATGCTCTGTTGAAGTAGGTAGTCTGGGTGTCACTGGCTAAATTCCAAGTTTGAACTACTTATAACAATTTCCTTGTTCCTTCTCTGTGTCAGTAAATCTTTGTTCTGACAAATAAATCGGTAAATATTTTTAAAAAAATTTGTTCAGGTATCCTATCCTATTGAGCCTCTGGACTGAGGTGATACTGATAGTTCTGGTACCAAGGCTTATTTTCGCCAACAAGAGCATTAGTCCTTGAGCGTTGTGTCCTGAATCTAAGATTATTGATTTTTAATCTGCTCCTCACCCACTCCCATCTCTGTCCCTCAGATGCAATTGAAGATATTATCCATTGTTTTAATGCTGTCCTACTAATCCTAAGACCTCCGATCCTTGTCCTTAATTAATTAGATAATGTGTCTTATTCGATTTCTGATTTTCTTCATGCTTCTTCTTACTTATTTTTGAGGATTTAAAAGTTTTTACTGCTTGAAGATATTTCATTTACAACAATTCTTTTGCTTCCTTGTGCTGAATATTCAAATTTTGCAGGTGAAACTGGAGCAAGGAATTGAGATGTTGAACATCTTTAAAAGTTATGAAACTGACATTTCAATCCTGGATGATTTTGACTTCTACGAGGACAGGCAGAAAGCCATGCAGGAGCGTAAGGCTAGACAACAAGCTAGCCTCATGTCTGTAGGGGTTGTTGGAGAAAATGAGCATAGAAATACTGTTACATTATCTAATGATTTCATAAAGCAGATGTCCAAGAGCTTTGCTCAAGTTGTCTGCTTGGATGATGGTAATAAAGAAGGCACTGCTATTGAGAGAACTAGTTCTGCTTCTGACGGTTCAAAGGGTGCAAGGGTTAAACTTGAAGATGCTATTGTGGCAGCTGTCTCTTCTGCTCAGGCTAGTTAGGAATAATCATTCTGGGAATTTGGGCAGCCTTGCTGTACTGTATGTGACACAAACTTCTTTTTCACCTTTTGTTTTGATTTCATTTTGTAAGAATTTAGATCTCTCAATTGGTGAAATTCTGTTGGAGTGCATCCGTATTTGAACAAGGTCTTACAAGTTTTATGGGGCTGATTTGCTTCATATGTAATATTTGCCTTCTGAGTGTTTCTTTAACTGTAGTCATTAGTTTTCTTTTCTTTCTTCTTTCTTTTTCTTCTACCTTTACTTTGTTTTTTTTTTGGGTGAGAATAGTGAAGATACTGGCTGATATCTTGCTTTTGTAAAGTTCCCTAATCTTTGCAGGCATGTTAATAAAAGAATACAGCAAATGGTGTTATCCAATCTTTTGCTTCTTTGCCTTCCCTCTTAGCATTCTTCACTTGTTACAGGAATTGTTCTTTTTTGGTGCTGTTATGGCATCTGTTTTGCCTGTGTGCATGGTGTGGGAAAGAGTGAGAGAGGGAGTTCTGACTGACCTCTGTTGTGGAGAATTTTCGATGTTTGTTTGGGAAGTTTATGCTTATGGATAGAAATTAAGATTGGTTACACCAATACGACATGTATTTAATATTTTGGGATGAGTACACAATTATGGTATTAGCATTAGCTTGTATTGCAACTATTTTGAGCATGTTAATTGAGAGCATTTCCTTTTGGATTTCTCTTCTTCACTTTGAATCGATTACATAATGATATTAGCTTTATACATTGCTACCTAGTTAACTTAAACAAATTGTCTCTACAATACTGGCATTTCTGGATGCACATGTGTGCACACACACGTAGGCGAATATAAATGTTTGTAAGCAGGAGATTTTTGAAATATTTTTTGGCCTTCTAATTTAGTGTTCTTGTGATGGTGAACGTCAGGATTGTGACTGATTGGAGTTTTAGTTTTGGTGCATGAGAATGAAATATGTTGGAAAGGCAAAGCTTTCTTTTGATGATCTTTTTTTTTTTTTTTAATTTAAATTTTTTATAATGTAACAGATGATTGAGGATATCATTTTATTTTTCTTTGTTCTGGATAATATAGTCTCTATAAGTTTACAGTGACTGGTAATCTCCCAAATTAGACAGCCTTTTCTTGCTCCATTCAACATTTAGACAGCCTCATCTTGCTTCATTCACCATTTCTTGGCATGATCAGTTTCTAGTCAACGAATATTTGTCTTGTTTGGGCTCCTACGGATAATAGAACCCGGGAGTTTGCATTTTCTTGGTGTTTTAATGAGCTACCGGGGCTCTCCACTTTTTATATAGAAATCCATGGTGAAGGCAAAGATTCTATTTGGTGTCATGAGGTAAGGTTGCATGAATTCAAGAATTACTCTCAGGTCTTCTCCAGGATGACTACTTGTAAGTGCAGATTTTGGTACCCATCTTTTTTATTGTACTATTAATCACTGTTTCTGATGAATCCAAATATTAATTTCAGTAGAAATCCTATGGACTGGCTTGTTTAATAAGGACGTTGCAAAAATATTCAGCAGATTTATGGAAAGAAGTTATGCACATATATTTTTGCGAATGTCTGATATCCATGATCTGTACTGTAATATCTATTCTGGATTGCCATTCTGGCAATGACAATGACAATGCAAATCTTTGTGTTGTAAAGCTGTTTTGGAGCGTAAAAGTTGTAAACTCCAATCCAATGTTATTCTCAATGTTATTGCCACGGTCTCTCTCTGTCCTTGCCCATCCCTGGTATGCTCAATGGATTTGGGTACCTCCGCGGTACTAGTTGGCCAATGTTTTCTTATCCTTTTCTCTATTCACAACAATCCTTTTCTTCTTCTTCTTCTTTTTTTTTTTTTTTTTTTTTTTTGGGTATTTGTTCCTCATATGTTGTTTCTCTATCATGTTTTATAGTTTCAATGGTTTAGAAATTAACCATGTTTTTGATTTTATCAAATGATGTTACAATTTCAAGTCACAGTATTCTACCTACAATTGTGAGTCTATAGATAAACTTTTTTCACCTTCATTTATTTAAATTAAAAATTTGGAATCGACTCTGCCAATATTCTTTTGAACCCAATTATTATGTATACTTTCTTAACAATAACCAAACAAAAGAAAATAACAACTTAAAATTAATGTTCCATAAAATATGTCCAATTTCTTACACCGAACTAAAGTGTTATTTATTTATTTATAAAAATATAAATAAATAGAGTATTAAGATTATTAAGGATAATAAAAATGACAAAAAAAAAAGAAAAGCATTTATTGTGGGCTTTCGGCCCATCAAAAGAAGGGTCCTTCACCTCCGCACACTATTAATTGTTCGCGTAGAGGGGAATCAAAGAAAAAAAAAAAAAAAAAAAAACAAAGGGAAGAAGGGAGCTAACCTAAATATCAGAGGGGCTCAGCTTAAGGAAAAGGAGAGAGATGAAGACATGGATATGGGAATTTGGGGGTGAATGGGAGAATGAGAAAATGGCAAGTGTTTGTTCATTGGAATTTTGGCGGTGCAGGCCTACCTTCATTGCTCTTATTATTATATTTATACTCCTTTTTCATCTTTCCAAGAAATTTTCCTCCAAATTCCTTCCAATATCAACATCATCTTCCTCTTCTTCATCTCCCTCTTCATCCCTTTCAGATTCTCAATCAAGGTAAACTTTTTTATGCCTTTTCTAATCTCATTTTCAATTTCTTAATATATTCTTTTCTTCTTATTTTATTTGCTCAATTGTCTTTTTTTTTTTTTTTGATAAATGGTTTTTCATCACTTTTTTACTTTCCTTCACTTTCACTCTTTCGCAATTCCTAAATTAGTTTCTTTTTAAGCTTTTCTATTTGCTTTCCTATTATTATTTTGGAAATCTCTCAAGTGAAATAAAGCTTTTTTTTTTCTTTAATTTGGTCTTCTTTTCTGCAAATTTTATTGTCAAAATGGAAAAACATGCTCTTTATTATGGAATATTTTATAATTTTTTAAAAACTCGTTTGCCTTTAAATGTGGTGGGAAAATTTTTCCTACGGCGATCTCCATAAATTCAACTATTGGCACTGAAAAATTAGCATTTTTTTCCTGCTAAAATTATTATTATTATTATTATTATTATTATTATTATTATTATTATTATTGAGGAGGGTTTTCAATGTTACCTTGATATGTTCGAAATTGGCATGTCAGTTTTAGCTCATTTGGAACTTGTGTCTGCTACTGTAGAATCCCGGAGATTGTGTCTGATTCAGATTTGAAGTTTTTAATTGATAATTTGGACGAGAAGCTTAATGAGGATGAGAGATGGGAGAATGTAATCGATAAGAAAAACAACTTTCTATCATACAACACAAAATGCTGCAGGCCTAAGGTTCTGTTTACTTTCCTTTGCTTGGTTCATTTCTAATAACAGTATAGTGAAGTGATATGAAATTCAACTTAAGGTTACTCCACTTTGACTCGGTGGAACCTCTCCAGCCTTGTTCCCATGCAGCTCTTTGGCTTTCATTACTTTATGATTTTCTGTTTTGAGAGAACTTTTGTATTTTACACTTATTCATTAACTGCCACGGCTGGGAGTTATTTTTATTTCCATTTACAATGTTCTGTTGTGGCCATTTAAAATTCAATTGAATGTTTATTTACAGGGCCTATTGCATGATTTATTTATCTATGTTGTTTTATGAGTTCATTTAAATCGGACAACACATTTTTTGTGGACTTTTCTCCAATGTAAAGTAGGTCGTGTAGCAAACTGAAAGTTGTGTTTCTTGTTGTTGTTTGCAGGATAGAACACTGAAATACCTGAGCACAACAGTGTTTGAGAGTTGCTCCCCGGAGCTTCTGAGGGACTTCTATATGGACAATGGTTATAGAAAGCGGTGGGATAAGACCATACTTGATCACGTGCAGCTGCAGATGGACACAACAAAAGGAATAGAAATTGGTCGCACAATAAAAAAGTTTCCCCTTTTGACACCTAGAGAATACATACTGGCTTGGAGATTGTGGGAGGGAAAAGATAGAACATTCTATTGTGTTATCAAGGTGACTGTCACTGAACATAGTCTTTTATTATATTGAATTTTTATTGGTATTGATTACTGCATTGGCATGTGCATGCAGTTAGGATTGCATCTCTCTCAATCTCTTCTTATCTCCTACTTTGTACCATCTGACATGATTTATCTGGTTAAAATATGTGAACTACAATAGAAGGGTTCTTGACCAAGAAATTTGATATCCATAACATCTGAAATTGTTGGAGTAGCTCGTGGAATATTGTAATCTCATGGAATGGTTTCTGGAAAAGCCTCTATTGAGTTCAAGAATGGTGGTAGAAAAAAGCAAGGATTCTATGATTTTCAAATTTGCTTCCCAAATTTCATACAATCATTTCTAGAAGAGCGACTATTGAGTTAAAGAAGGATACTAGATAACAGGAAGGATGTTATGATTTTCAAATGGGAACATGAAGCATGACGATGATGTTGACCCACCCTCCTTAAAGAGTGGAGCTCCCACTTTATCCCCTTAATCCACTGTACCAAAAAGAAAAAGGAATTTGCTCCACGAATAATTTGGCTGTTTTATAGTAATATTCTTTTTCTGTGCTCACTGTCTCATCGTGATTGTAATTATTGTTACGATTGACTTGGAATGTGAACATCCATCAGCACCACGACAGAAGAAGTATGTTCGAGTGGTATATTTTAGATCTGGTTGGCGAATCAGGAAAGGCAAGTGCCTATTATACTCTCTTGTCCTTAACCCTCACAATTGAATGACAATGCATTTCTTAATTCCTGCCAAAGTTTGTTCTACTAGAGCTCAAGGCATAGAAAATATTAATCATTCTTGATAGGGGAATAAAATGGAATAAGGGATCTTGTACATGTATTCTTCTTCTTCTTCTTCTTTTTGTTCTTACTATTTATGATTCTGAGGTTTAATGTTATAATATACAGTACCTGGTAGAGATGCCTCTGAGATCAGAATGTTTCACCAAGAAGATGCTGGTCTGAATGTGGAAATGGCAAAACTGGCATTTGCGAAGGGCATATGGAGTTATGTATGTAAGATGGATAATGCACTACGCCAGTATTCTGTAATCAGCCATCCTCTGACTAGCCCAACTGTTTATGCAGCAACTCTGATTCATCAGGTCTGCATTACTATATTCAACAAAAAACTTCTTTCTGAAATGTTGTCATGTTTAGCAATAACTTATGATCATTTTTATTTGGTACTTCACTTTCGATAGAAAACTACTTAAGATAAATTGTTACAACTTTGCTAACCTGTAAACGTACTTAACCAAATTTATTGTTCTCTATACCTAAACAAATTTATTGTTCTTTATAAGAATAAACCTCTTTATCTTTGTTCCTTCAAGTGACTTGAAGATTAGTGTTTCTGAGAAATGAATGCGATAGGTTATCTAATCCTTAAGGCTGAGGTAAATATAAAGAAGCATGGTCTGAGACCATGTAAGGGAGCAGCCTCGGTAGAGTTCCCCAAGGCTTGCACAATCTTACCACACCTATGTACAACTCTATGCAATAAACGGTTATCTGACCTTGTAGAAGTTTGAAGAATAGAAATGTATATATCCAGATCATTTGGATTTTTGGTCAGCTCAGAGTCTTCTGTCACATTGTTGAGCAATGTAGACTCTGATGGTCTACCCATATGGACTAGTCATCTAAACTGAGGTTATATCTAGTTTAGTTCCTTTTGTTGTCAAAATAGTTTGTTGAAATAAATTATGATTATGGAATCAAATAATTAAACTTCTGGTTCTTTTATTCAAAAAAAAAAAAAATTTCTGGTTCTTTAAGTTATATTATCATGGATCAGTTAAAGAATTGATGACTGACATTGTCGTCTGCACATAGGATTCACCTGAATTAGACACAGTAAGTGCCATTACTTCACCAGCAGTCTCTGCATCAGTGGTCATTCGTGAACCAGTTAATGGTGAAGCCAGGGAGAAAAAGTTATCAAGAAGACCATCAAAAATGTTTATAGCAAAAAGTTTGCTTCTACTTGGGGGTGTGATCTGCCTTTCTCGTGGTCACTCTTTCCTGGGTGCTAAAGTTACAATGGCATACATCTTAACGAAACTGAGAAAGAGTGGTGATTCATCAAGCTAAAGCAAGCAAAGTTTAGGCACTTGACCTTTGTTTCATGTCTGCAACTAATTTCGATGGTTTTAATAACGGCTGGTTGTGTGATGTCATGATGTGAAGGAAATTTTATTCTGTAATTATCTGTTTTGGAAATTGTATTAATATAGTCAATTAGATGATGCTGATCAATGCAGTTTGTGAACTTTAAGCTGCAACATTCCAATTACAGCTTAATCACACAGGCGATTTTGATGTAGAACTTGTGTGTGGTAGGCTGATACATGTATCGGGGTAATGATTAGGTCTAATTCAGGAGATTGTAACATGGTTGCTTCCTCTTCGATCTTTAGTTCTACACCAGCACAAAGAACTTGGAATAGCAGACATCAGGCCCCGGTTATGCGAAGATGAGACAGCTAAGCCTAGTTTTGTCAAAGAAGACAGACTGATTTCCTTTTTGCAATGCAGGTTACAATGTGTTGTATTTGAATTGCGCGATAAATAACAAGTTTAATATATGAAAAAGGAATGGTTACAAGAAGAGCATGCATTAACATAAACCTGCCGTTTTGCTCTGGGTTATATAATTTACGATAGCTTTCGACCCAACTTAAATTGAAAACCTTATACTTCTTTAAGAAACAAATTGAGTGTCACAACTCTTTACCTATGTTATTTAGTTTGCTTAACTGTTAACTATTTTTTTTTTTTTTAAATTACACTTATAATCACGTATTATATTCATATAATTAATTATTATATTATTAAATAATTAATTAATTACTGAATAAATAATTAATAAATTATAATTTTAAATAAAAAACCAAATTTACTTACAATTCAACTTGAATCTAAGATTTTAAAGTTATAAATTTGAATTGTCTTTTCCGTACAAATTGGTTACAATTTTTTTTTTAATCTGGTATTTGAGAAGGGGAAATTCGAGCTCCGTCCGATTTACAAAATTCGAATTATGATTTTAAGTAGGAAAGCTAAAAATAATTCATAGTTTGTCGAGTAAAAGAAAAAAAAAAAAAAGACTATTATACCAATTATGAAAGTTAAAAATAGTTCAAACCTTTAAGATTTCAAAAGTTGGATTAATAAAAGACACATTATTCTTAAAGGAATATTACAAAAATCAAAATAAAAAAGCGAAACATGTTTTAATCTTTTGATCTCTTTTATACTATGTTTAGATTGAAGGGAAGCGAAGGAAAATAAAGGAAAATAAAGAAAAATAAAGAAAAGTAATGGAAATAGAAAAATTTTTCATTTGTTTAGATTTAGGGATTTAGGGAAAGGAAAAGAAAGGGAAAAAAAATTGGAAACTCAATAAATTTTGATAAAGTAATGAAAATAAAATTTTTTTTTTGTTTGGAAAAATTTTAATTTAAAAAAAAAGCGAAAATTAAATAATTTTTGGTTTTCGTTATCTTTTTAATATCCAAAATTAGAGAAAAAATTAAAGAAAAAAAAGTTGAAAAAATTTTATTTTTATAAAAAAAATTATTATATTTAAGAGTGTTCTAAAATTACAAGTAATGAAAAATTATAATTAAAAAAATTATTACAATGAATCTTTTTTTTTTTCATTCTTTATCTAAATAATAATTTTAAAAATTTTTTAATTAATTTTAATTATTAGTACATATATCTTTTCATTTTCTTTAAAAACTTTTTTTTCTTTATTAATATTTAATCAAATATTGCGTTAAAATTTTAAAATACAGTCCATAGAAGAACAAACTCTTTACTTATTTGTTTTTGAAAATACGCTTAATAAATATTTGGAAGGCACATAGCCGGGAAAGTATCTGTTATAGCATAAAAGGTTATAGTTATAGACGGCGGGAAAAAGTGTAAGAAGGATCCGAAAAACGTTGAAAGGTTCTTATTTTTCCTCAGCTTTCGCTTTTTACAAAAGCAATGCCATTCCCTCCCTATCTCTCTCCATTCTCACACCATTGCCAAACTTAGCCATCCTCTGAGGAAATTCAAAGGAAAAAGAAAAGAAAAACAGCCTAGAGACTCCAATAGAAACAGAAAAAAGCTAAGGGAACCAAAAACGGTTTTTTTTTTTTTTCTCCTTCAGAGGTTATCATCATTCATGTTTATTGTTTCCTCAGCGCCTTCTCCACCACCACCTCCTTCGGTTTCTGCATTCGATATAGCTAAATCGTTGAAAGGAATAGAACCCCACATTCTTCTGCTTTTTCCTGGGTTTTTCCAGGAATAGGAACATGCAGCATTCTCTTGTAGGATACTTGGTTCTTTTTCTTGGGGCCCTGATTTCGTTGGTCCATTCAAAGACAGATTCCCCGGATGGTATGTGCCTTGTTCGACTTCAATGTTGTAGAATATTTATGCTGCAATTCTTTATATCCATGCTTGCTAATGATAGACGTATCCATGTTTTTGCTCTATTTTTTGTTTTTTTGTTTTTACCTTTATCTAGATTTTAAAGAATACAACAAACATATCATATTTGGCCTATGCTATGGAGATAATTAGATGCTAATTTGCATGCCAATAATACATGTATGTAACTCATGAAATAGGTCCCTTTTCTTTGTGAGAAAAAAATTGCAACACTAATTTTTTCTGATCTTCATTTATCATATGTTTTATTTTCCCCCCTACGAGCATCAGTCTTTTTGACTTGAGAACTCAGATTTCCGATGCATCAACATAAACATAAATCTTTATACATCACAATTTTGACGCTTGTTAATTGTATTTTGTAGTTACTGCCCTTAATGTAATGTTTAAAAGCCTAAATACTCCATCACAACTAACTGGTTGGAGAGCAAGTGGCAGTGACCCTTGTGGTGATTCCTGGGAAGGGATCAAATGCTCAGGCTCATCTATAACTGAAATGTATTATTCTTCCCTATTATCTGTCTGGTGAAGCAATCTTGCATTTTTCTATATTCAACAGGACACAAATGGACTTTCTGAACTGTTTTTTCTTTGGTTAAAATTTTCCAGAAAGTTACCTGACTATGGACTAAGTGGACAATTGGGGTACCAGCTATCAAGCTTGACTTCAGTCACTACCTTGTGAGAATTTGCTTCTAGAAATAGGCAAACTTATATGTTATATTTTCTACTTCTTTTCTATTTCTTTTTCCCTGTTAGAGAACATAATTTGAAGGCAATGCATTTTTGTTCATAGTACAGTGATTTGAGCAAGAACAACCTCCATGTTGATATTCCATATCAACTACCTCCCAATGCTGCAAACATGTAAGTCAGCTGAACTAAATTAATGAACACGAAAACTTTTTCTACTTTTTGTACTTTTGCTTGGCAATCCGTGTTTGTAACATACCTAATGGAGTTCAGTCTAATTTTGTGGCCATTGGTTTTCCTGTTTTGACGTTGTGTTGCTTACAGCTTTTGAAAACTGTGTAAATTATTATTTAGCTACAATTTTTAACTAGAATAGGCAAAATTTTTCCTCTTCTATGTTGCTGGTAATGCTGAAGGTCAAGACCAACACCTGTTGTCTTTCTAGCTTTACTTAATGAAATGATCTAAATAAGGTTAATTTGTTTTAATGCAACAACATATGTTTTTGATCCAAAAGATGGCAAAGTATGTTTTTGATCACTTTGATCTTCACTAATTACAGCTGCATGTTCATATCCATATCCATATCCTAGTTTGAGTTTCTTTGATTCTCTATAATATCACACATATCTTATGAGCTCAATATGCAGAGACCTTTCAGAAAATAATTTTAATGGTAATGTGCCTTACTCGATATCTCAGATGACCAACCTCGAAGACATGTAAGTGAAATATTGCTTCTTTCTATTTTCATTACAATTTCATCAGTTGTTACCATGTCTAATTATTTGGTTGGTGGCTACATAAATCTTAGCCATAATCAACTGAAGGGGCAGTTGAGCGATATGTTTGCAAAAGTTCAAAAACTTAAATCATTGTAAGTATTGCTGAAAAGAAAAAGCCGTTTCTTCTATTGGTAATTTACATACTTTTCCTGGAAAGCTAAGGGCCTGTGTAGCTTTGAAAAATGTTTTCCACTTTCCATCTCTATCTTTTCTCTTTTATATATTTGGAAAACCTTGTTTTTGAATTTTCCAAACTCAGTTTTTAACTTTATTTTATCAAATCTATTTGGAGTAAAAGTGAAAATGGGAAATGGAAAACAATTTCTAAAATCAAACAGGCTCTAAGGTTTTCAATTCAATTTGATAGGATAGCTTCTAACTTTTACAGGAGGCACTAAACTTCTGTTAGTTTTATGTGATTTAACTTTTCTTTATGACACAGCATGAAACCTTTTACTTTTTAAGTGCCTAAGACTTTTCTTCCTTTAGAAAAAGTGCCTTAGACCTTAAATACCATCACAAAAGTTGTTTTATGCAAAATATGCAGCTTCTGAAAAAAATTGAAACAGAATTTGATGGGATCATAAGATTGAATGAATTTCCGAGTTTCTGATAATGATGCCTCAACTGAGTAGGGGCCTTTCCTTTATACGAACGAAAAATCTCAAAATAGGAAAATTTTCAGACAAATGCTGAGTAGTGACATGGGAGCATATAAGGAGCTAGGTGTTGAGACATTCATGAGAACAAAAATGCTTTAAATCTGACTTTCTGCCTGATATATTATTCCATTATCAGATGAAATGCAGTCCATGTAAATGAACTAGGATGCAAAACAAGAGTACCTAAGTAAAAGCACAGGGATTGGAGTATGGACATCAGTAAACTGTCTTACTTAAACAAGAACTAAGCCCCATTATGGTATCAAGAATTCAAGATTGACAAAAGGAAAATGGAAACACTATAGCAAGCCTTAACTTTCTTTCTTCGTTTTTTTTTTTTTTTTTTTTTTTTCCAGAAATCTGTTAGAAACTCTCTAATGTAAATCCTTTGCAATTTGCTCTTGCGCTTCTTTCTTGTATTCTATATTTTCAATGTAAATGAAACAATGTGCCTCTAGACATATTTCTTACTAACATATGAACTGACATATAGTGATGTATCCTTCAACCAACTGTCTGACAAGCTGCCAAATTCTTTTGCAAATCTTACAAGTTTAAACACTTTGTAAGTGGAAAAATTTTCCCGTTCTTTTTTATCTTTACCTTTTCAAGTGCTTTGTTGCTAACTCTATTTTCACTTATACAGGCATCTACAAGACAACCAATTGACTGGTACACTAAATGTTCTTGCCGACCTTCCTCTAAATGATCTGTAAGTAACCAGCAAATAAAATTTGTAAAAAATGACGGTTTTCAATTCTTCTTTTTCACACATTGAAGCTGATGAAAAATCTAAGAGACCTTACAATATCGATCCACCTTCTTTTCTGGCAGGAAAGTTGAAATAACAAATTTACTGGATGGATTCCTAATGAGTTGAAGGACATAGACAACCTACAGTAAGTATCCTACAAAATTTTCCTTGTTTATTCTTGCAGTGCTCTAAAAGTTGTTTCCTGAGTTGCAATCATCTTTTTGGAAGAACTGGAGGAAATTCTTGGTCAACTGGGCCAGCTCCCCCTCCACCTTCTGGTGTACACCACCGTCATCCCGATGAAGAAGA